CCCCTATCACTAAGGAAATGGTTTATAACGACTGCACTTTTCTCCAGTCAGATACGGTTCACAGGTCAGAGTGTATTTAGCCTCAACGTTTCCAAATTTTCCTTTGCACGTGAAAGTGTGCGTGCCAGGGCTCAGGTACTTCTCACAGTGTACGAGAAGGTCTTCAGATTTCCAGTCTTCATCCCAAACCTCGATCGTCAGAACCAGGCTTGTGTCAACCTTCATGAGAAAATGTGAATGGAGGATCATTCAGATGCATATTTTGACGTTCAAAGTCAAATTATTTAGGTGATATAGAAAATAAAAATGTTTTCCACGCATCTCAAAAGTTGATAAATGCAGAGTAATCTCAGCCGAAACACAACAGCACAAGATATGAAATACATCAGCAAAGCTGTCTGCTTACCCCGGTGTTTTAAAAGGGGTGGGGGTTGGTGTCCTCCCCCCCCCCACACTGTTTTTTTTCTGCCAATTTGAAGGGCAGAACTTCAACTCAGTGGGAAATTTAATGTTTTTGGTTGTTTATTCAATGTTCAACTCTGTGTTTTTGTGTTTAATGATGTAAAGCATTATGAAATGCCTTGCTGCTGAAATGTGTTATACAAATAAAATTTGATTTGATTTTGTTTTGAATATATATGTAAAGTGGTTTCTGTTCAAATATTTTCAGATTTTTTTCTGTTTATTTGTACTTGACCAAAAACACCATAAAATGTGCATGGTCTAATCAGGTAAAACCACATTCTTTTTTATACAGGTGCTGAGCCGCATGTCCACAGACACCCAGGTTGGTTCTGAGAACCGAAACAAGAACGAGTCGGGCCTAAAGGGAGGTGCTCTTTTCTTGTCATTGTGGCTGCTGGTTCATGTGAGCAACAAGTTGAAGGACAAATTAGTTCATGATCAATAACTTAACATCATCTAGTTGAAATTGAAACTACAATGCATTTCTGATATTAAATTATATTTGATCCATTATGAAATTTTTGCTAACATAGTTTTGGTGGCACCAAAGAATAGATCAGCTTTCTTTCAAGACTGATGCATAAAAACCTAATTCTCCTCACTGCCGGTAATTTAATGTTGATTTTTTTGCAAAAATAGATGCTGGTATTAACTCTATAAGTTCTACTACATCAGCAGAGTTAATGGATCAGTTTGTCTGTTGTTGAGCTTTTTCAGCTAATCTGTGATGATAACGTTTACTGACCTTGCCCAAATTAAACTCAGCGTTCCACTTCGGATTATTGGATTCGATCATTTTGGTCCTGCGTTGTATGGAACCATAGAACATCTTGGCATAGCTGTGAACAAAAGAGGAGCCATATAAAAGGTGTGCTCATCAGGTTCCATAAGGTCTTTGTTTTTTACCTTTGCATCAACCCACCCATCAGTTTGTCCAATAACATCTCCGTATAGATCCCAGCCTCGAACAATGGTCACTGATAGAGTTCCCCTTGAGGTGTGCTGAGGGCAGCAGTTAGGAGTGTTGGCTTTACAGTGTGGTTCTTCGGGTGATTTCTTCACAGCATTTTCCTGCAAATACTGTTCAATAGCAGTTTTCATCCCTTCCTTTTGATACTTGCTTCGTATCAGCTGATAGAGAGGCCGAAGGGTGAACGAAACAACATCTGGATGTTCTTTCAGGCTCTTTAGCCAGTTCATGTAGCCCATGGAATCATTTTGGGAAATTGAAAACTCCCCCAACCAACCATTTCCTCCTGACACCTCTGTGAAGTGTTGGTGGAGACCAGAGCTGTAGCCAGTGGCAGAGTCCTTGTTTAGTAGGACACGAATGCAAGACTTCTGGATACTAGAGAGTTTCATCTTCCCCAAGCCAACAGCAACACCCATAGATAAACAGTTATGGATCTGGGTGAAAGAACAGCACAGAGATTTTTTAAAAAGCTCTATTATACCAGACATTTACATAAACAGCCAGAGAAGAATATGTCCATGTAAAAATCCTCTGGAAATTAAAATGGACAAAACAAAACCATAACACTTAAAATTTCTTAAAGTAGGTTGTTGAAAGTGATAAACTTCATATCTGTGCTGCTTCATGTATTTGGTCATGATAAATTAGAATCATGGAAGTATCACATATGGTTGTGTAAAAATCTGTTGTTTTGTGCGTTTTGTTACCTCACTTGGAGTTAACCCATTCATGGAGGACAAGCAGCTTCGTGAAGATGTCACTCGTCTCAGTCGCCCTCCAAGATTAACCTAAAACAGGTTTAAATTTCTTTAAAATGCTTCCCTGCAGAAAAATGTATGTAACTAATTCACAATGTGTGTGTGTGCGCGCGCGTGTGTGTGTGTGTGTGTGTGTGTGAGAGAGAGAAAGTAATCACCATTCTGAAGTAGTGTGTGCCATAGACGTTTATCAGCTTTCTATACTCGTTCTTAGTGGAGGAGTTGTAGTGAGTTGGCAGGACGTCTAACTGCTTTTCGAACTCTAAGCTTAAGGGAGGTTTGGTTGATAATATAAATCTAGACACCAAGACAAAATTAGACAATTATTTCTATAACCATGGCCTGTCCGAACTCAATGAGAAAAGTCTAATTTCCATCCTACCCATAACGTTTGCAGGTGACACTGTGTATGCTGAAAGTGTAGCGATCCTCTTTGCTCCTTTGTGAAACAAACTTGTAGGCTTTGGTGCCGGTTCCTCCCACATCTAACTTGTCAAACAAAATCTTTTCAACATCCAAGCCAACCTGATGAAATACAGACAACACATGTAGTTTATAAGGTGTTAAACAAGAAGCCATATTTTTCTATCACTATTCTAATCACTTACTTCAGTTCTAACTGGATGCAAACTAAAAAGATAATACAATTCTTGGAAGAGCACATATGAACTGAAATGAAATGGTGAAAGAAAGATCACCCAGCATGCTTTCTATCAGAAAGGGTTTATATCAGAGAGTTATCAAAACTCAGGGCTGCATTGAAAATATTCTGAAATGTTCAGCTTTGAGATGTTTCTTACCATCCAATCATTGTCGTCTAGGGATGTGTAAGCCTCAACCAGAGAGCTGTTGGGACATTTTAAAGAAGTAATTATTATTAAAATCTATGCAGTTCATTTTTAATAAGGTGCTCATGTTTTCTAGCTTTGTGAAATTGTTGATTTAACTATTGTTATTTTAATACATAGGAATTTTTAGGCAGGTATTCATAAACTACGATTATGTTCAATAAATTAAGAGTATGCTTCCAGATGTGGCTCGGTTTTCAGATTAAAAGTACTTTTGAAAATAACATCTAAGCAGGTATTAAACATCCTTTTCATTAAACCCGCATTTCTGTATTAGGAAATATTTCTATTGGTTTGCTGTCTTATTCCAGTGTGGTAATGTGGCCTCCTTTTTAGAGTTAATTTTATGGGGTTTTTTTTTACATTTGCTGTTTTGGATTTGCTTGCTGTGACATTTTGAAGTTATTTACTTTTGCCATTATATTTATTTTTGGGTTATTATTATCATTTTTTGGCTTTGCTGTGTTGCATGTTTTTCTGACTTTTTGTGTTTTACTTTTCATGTCGCGTTACCACCCACAGCCGAAGACGCCCACTTCTGCAGTACAGGTGTTCCCCATTAGTTAAGCAGCGTATGAACCAGGAAATCAGGAATAAAAAGGATAGCTGTGTAGTTGAAGGAAAGAGGGGCCAGAATGACGGTGCAGGGGTAGCAGCTGGAACTAGTCGGAACTAGTATGTCTGCAGGAATGGGGGTCGCTGTGGAGGACCGAGTGGCGGGATCGCTGTGGAGGATCGCAGGGCTGGATGTCGTTAAGGACCGAGTAGCTGGATCGCTGCCAAGTTTCGTCTGCTGGTGGCCGCAGCGGATCGGTTGGCTGGTGGCGAGAAGAAGACCGAGTGCCGGCGAGAGGGCCACGCCCCCGTCCCTTAGCTAAGACTCCATTCCAACTTCCTTCCACAGACATTTTTTTTAATCGACTCTGCTGCATAACGTTGCCCTGCATTTTTTTTTTTTTTTTTTTTTTTTTTTGTAATTTTTTAAAATTAATTTTCAAATTTTAAAAGCTCATTTTTAAAACCCTGCTCACATTTGCAACAGTTTTAACTATATCAATATTACCACTTGGGTCCCACACCAATTTTCAATGTTAGGTTTGCATTACTTGTCAGTTGAAAATCATCATAATTAAAATAATGAGGTTTTTAAAATGTATGTAATTATTCTATTGGTGACCTTTGAAGTCAACTGGTTGCACTTGAATATATTAAGCATCAGAATATCGGTATAAATGCACACCACATTTTTCATATTTTGCTCCCACTTCAGAATTATGCACTATGTGTTGGTTTCCCACATAAAGGTCCAATAAACATATACTCTTGATTGGAACATGTAATTGTAACATGAAAAAAAAAATCCTATAATTAGTGAAATTATGTGATTCAATGTTTACAGTGTTCACAATGCGGTTTAAATACTCTACCTAGCAGAGGTGTGAAAACTGCTGTGGATTTCAGGATTGCATTGAGTGACGGCATGGAAGTCCACAACAGAAGATGGAAGCTTAAAATGAAGAAAAGTCACATTGTTGTTAATCTCTCAAGACAGACGTGCAGCTTATGGAGGACCAAAGCTGACATAAGAAATAAAAGCATAAACCTATATTTTGCTTTCCTTTTCCTTACACGAGTTTCCGTCACGTGATGTATATATTTTCTTAGTCATTTCCCCTAAACGTGTTTTTGTCAAGAAAAGTAAATATTTTGTTTTGTCTTTTGTTTTTGCTTCTCCCTTTTCTGCTTGCTCTTTTTCTGCTGCATGTTTATGTTAATGAGGAGAGCTGACTTCTATATCCACCTCCTCTCTTATTGGTCAATAGAGCTTTGGAACCAACGTCACTGCGTCAGACATTGTGGGGCATTTACGTCTCACGCAGTCGCTCGGTGCTATCTCTGCAGGCCACAGACCAAAACAAGCTTTATCCCGGAGGTTTTATTGTGTTACCGACTGCAGTGAAGTTAGTTTACAAGTTGGATATTGGATAGTCCAATATCTGCCGAGCAAGCGGTGTTTAGCTCAAGGTTGATCCGATTTATGAATGCTAATTTCGGCCAGCCGTTCTCTCGCTCTCCAAGTGCTCGGAGGTTCACATAGTCAACAAATTTCCGAACCAAACACTCTGGTCAAACAAATGTTAATAAATGCCTTGACTTGTGACCAACTGATACAGGAAAGTGGTAATCCATGCTTTTACATGAGACACACTACCCTCTATTAAAATGTCAAGTCATAGTTAATATTTTAAATGACTTTAATGTTAAATAATATGTTTTCTTCAATAGCTTCCATACTGTGTGCCACATAGACTAGAAATCTGTGTACTAAACGCTACATATGAGGCACATGTATTTTTATTCCATTTTAACTACATTTTTATTTTGACCTATTTTGTAAGTTTAAATTTAGTATTTCTCTTCAATAGCTTCAAGGTCATGTGACCTGAGTCAAAATCAGTGTGAAATTGTTATAGATCTATAACTCTAGACTGCTCCTCTTTAGGTCCAAAAATAATAACTTCAGTTTTGTTTCTGTTCAGCTGCAGAAAGTTTTGGCACATTTATCTGTTTTAAGCATCTATTCAGTGACTGGAGGGGTTCAGAGTCACCTGGTGACATTGTAATATAGAGCATTACTTGACGGAAATGCAAGTGTAAGAAAAAGGAAAAACAAAATATATATTTATGCTTTTATTTCTTATTAAAATATACTACTCAAAAAAAATAAAGGGAACATTTCACTTTAATTTTGTGTGTGGCTCCAAATCCAGGCCTCCATTGGTTAATAAATTTGATTTCCATTGATTTTTGTGTGATTTTGTTGTCAGCACATTCAACTTTGTACAGAACAAAGTATTCAATTAGAATATTTCATTCATTCAGATCTAGGATGTGTTATTTGAGTGCTCCCTTTATTTTTTTGAGCAGTGTACATATTTATGCTTTTATTTCTTATTTCGGTTTTGGACCTCCGTAGCAGCTGTTTATTTATACATTTTAAAGGTAAAGTTAATTTCATTTATATTCCACAGTTTCAGCAAGAAGGCAACACAAGGTTCTTAAATTACTTTTTGGTAGACATCGTTTTGAAGAGGGTTGGAGCAGAGAAAACAGGTGTTTCTAGCGGTCAGGTAAGTCTTCACATTAATCACGTGAGCTCCTTTCCTCTCTAGTGTGACTATATCAAAACCTTCCCCCACCAGGTTGTGACCTGGTAAAAAAGGAGCAGCATCACACTCTGTTTGGGTCCCGAGCCGACATGACAGAACAGAGGAGTGAACAAGGAGGACGCTTAGGAGAAGGAAAGCTGAAGTTGAATCAGGCAGCATCGCTGTAGTCAGAAGCAAAAAGATAGAAAAGGAATTAACTGTTTTTTACATAATGCATGACATTTTTGTTATTTTTATGACTTATTTATATACAACATATAACAAAGTTATACACTATTTGAAGGTGTGTGCATAAAACTGACATGACATTGCCATAAACATTAAGGAGTTTTCATGAATATTTATGACGGTTCTCATTAAATGTCATTCAGTAAATAATGACACTTTTCATGCAAATTTGACATTATTTAAAAAGTCTTTGTAATGGCAACTTGACATTAACCATTTATTTATCAAAATTTTGTAATGTAATAATACACAAAGTTACATAACATTTAAAATTTTGATAATTAACTATTATGACATATTTATGACAGATGATGATTCTCGATTAATGTCAAGTTGTCATGACCGTCAAAGTGTTACAGAAAGGGTTATGCTAACAAATGCAAGAATAAAAATTACTGATCAGAGATACATATGTGAAAATGTACATAAAAGATTAAAAGCTTGTATGAATTAAATGCGGGATTGTTTCAAAAAAATATTTAAATGTATTTAATACATGGGTAAATATCTGTTTACAGCAACATTCATTTTAACAGTGTAGCACATAGTCACCCATTGAATTTAGAGGGTCTGGCTGACAGATAAAATAAATTCAGGATCTGCTGCTAACACATGACTTTAATCTGAATTGAATACAAGTCAGACTTAATGGTTAAATATTGTTTAAACATGTTAATATTTTTAATATGGGTAATATTTCTTACCCATGTATTAAATACATTTACATATTTATCGAAACAATGACACATTTAATTCATACATGCATTTGAACTTTTATGTACATTTTTATATATGTATGTTTGTTCAGTTATATTTTATTTTTGCATGTGTTAGCATAAGCTACTATCACATTTTTGAGTTAGAGCATATTTGTTATTGGGAGCAGCAGTTATTGATGGTGAAACATTAGTAAACAGTTCTCGCCTTTGTGCGATCTTAACATTGTTTTTACTCCCCTTGACCTACGGGTCAAAATGACCCGCCCTAACAAAAGCACCAAAATAAAGCAGCTTACTTGAATTTGAAACTCCCCCTTTTTTCTTTTTTTTTTGCATGATGGAACAATCTGTTATTTATCAATTTAACTCAATTTAATTAATTTTTATCATGTATGTTTTTGTTACACAATACAAAAAAAAACAACAGTGTCCATCCATCCATCCAT